TTCTTAACTGTTTAAGTTCTTTAGTTCTTTATAATGTTTGTGTGTGTTTGAAAATACTTGACATTTGATAAAAACATATATATATATTTCAGCTAATATTTTAGGTTTATAAATATTGTTTTGTTTTTTTCAGCCACATTAAGAGGCCTATGTAGGGACACCGCCCTGTATTTTGTATTTTCTTTTTGTTTCTAGAATCCTAAAACTAGCCCACTAGGTGTCAGTAACACAACTGTAAGTACATAAAGCTGCTACTGAACCCCCAGAGGTAGAAGTGAAGTAGGAGGAGAGATGGCTAGCATTAGCCAAGCCTTGTGGTTTAGTATGTGCTGATCAGTGTCTATCTGTATGTTTATTGTTTGTAAAATTATTTTGTGAAAACATTTGTTTTGTATCGAACAATAATGGAAGTTACAGCACCCCCTGGAGGTGGGAGGGTTGGCTACTTTATCAACGTTCGCAAGTGTTAAAAAAAAAAAAAAACCCATACAAACAAACATTGACCCCAACGCGGATGCTGCTGCTGCAGGTGCAGGAAGTCGACTGGACTGATCTCTCCGTTGGTGTCACCGTTAGACCCGCCCTCTCTGCCGCCCCCACCATCTGACTGGCTGGTGAGGCTGCTGACTCCGTTCTGGTTGGACGGCGTTGTTCGAATTGTCTCAGAGGCTGATTCCACCATCATCACTGGCACCTGAGACCACAGAGAAGGAGGAGAAGGGAGAGGGAGAGAGGGGGGAGAAAAAACACAATGGTTGAACAAATGTGACCTGGGCAGTTTGAGCTCCGTCTGAGTGAACAAACAAGGCAGAACCAAAGTCAACACATGCTGAGATAGAAAAGAATGTGGTGTGTATTTGCGTGCAGGTGTGTAGCTGTGTGTTTACATGTGTACTATAAAAAGGCTCTTGGGCCATGGGCACACACACACACAAATACACACACACACACACATGTAAAAGGTGGACAAAAAGCAACTGATAGAAAGATACTTTTTTTTTCGCAAGTACTTTTGCCCCAGATGTGAAGCAAATCTAAACTGGCACACACAGTTGATACCCTGCTATAGGGTTAAATAACACACACACACACACGTTCACACGTCCCTACAATAATCAGAAGAGGCATGTGTGCGCTGTGTGTGAGCCACGAGCAGGTTTGTCTTTGACAAAGATCTTTTTGATGCGTCTTCATAGGGCCTCTCTAATTAGAGCGTGTTCCTCCTGCAAAACCCCGACAAAACGAGCCGTTCCTGGATGTGTTGTTGTTTTTTTGAGAAACAACACCCTACAAACACACACGGGCACATTTTGCCATCGTTAGGAGTATGAGCGTGGGAGACAAAGAGGAGAGACACTGAGAAGTGTGAGTACAGAACACACACACACACACACACACACGAGGCAGCTAATACAAAACAAAACAAACTTTCATACGAGCACGCAGGCTGTGAACCGCTAATGACAAGCTCAATCTCGTCTTTCTGCCTCATCCAGTTTTGGAAAATTAACACACACAAGTGCATAGTTTTTAAAAGGGAAAGTTCCGCTGCTTTTATTCCAGCGTGGAGTGGGTACACAAAACAGCACTGAGGCAATCGACGCAATCGTTTGTGTGCAACTGTGTGCATAAGCGCGTGTTTTTCAGAGACGCGAAAAAACCCGGGCCTTCTGGGGAAACATAAAAGGTCTTCCACTGGAGAATCTTCAGGGAGAAATCTTTTGTTTTCTCACTGGAATCACAGCCTTTTCTCCTGTTGACTTATTACAGCCGGGATAAATATATATATTTTTATGCTTTGAAATAATCCATTTTAAAATTCAACACCAATTTGTAGACAAACATTCACTTTACTTGTTTTTGTTCATAGAGTTTTTTCGTCAGATTAGCTTATCTTAGCCAACCTTAGGAGACACCTAACGTCAAATAAATATTTTTCTGCGGTGATGATGTTTGTATAACGTTTTAAAAAGAAATTCCCTTTAGGGGTGTACACCTTCATAGAAGAGAAGAGCTCTGTGCTAGTATATCAGGAACCCCATATCATTACAATGACTGTAGCAACACAATTCATTCATGTTCCAGGGCAGCTATATTATAGGAAGGCAACTAAAGGGCTTGTGTTGTAAACAGTGAGCGGCGATTGTCGCTTAGTTTACGAAGTTACTCCCTAGTTTCTTCAGACGTCTCTGCGTCGGTGAATTTTAGAAGAAAAAGTCCCGGCAGTGACACATACGTCCAGTGACGTCATGTCCAACCTCTCTTGTCTTTCCAACAATCCTTCCCTTCTCCATTC